AAATCCCACCCCATCCCATATGCGGCGGCGCCATCTGGCGGCGACGATGGGGGGGTGGGGGGGAGCACTGCCCATCGCCGATGCCCCCCTCCAGTAAGGTCGGGCCCCCCCCGAGGTCGTAACCCCCCCCCAGAATCAGGACCCGCTCCTTCAGTTTTTACAAATTTTATTTATAACAATATCTGGTTCTGTTTAGTTGCAAAGTAATCCAGCAAAAATTATTAAAACGTTTCCTCCCCCCACCCCCAACATGAAAAGGATGGGGTCTCTCCCCCCCTCCAACCCGCCCCCCCACATGCGTTTATTGATTTCTACTATAAAAGCGAGGTCGGCTCGGGGGGGGGGGGGGGGGGGGGGGGGGGGGGGGGGCGTGTTCTTTCTCCTGTTAAAAAATGTGCAAGGTGGAGGGGGGGGGAACAAACCCCCCATAATGGGGTGGGGGCTCAATCCCCATCCTCCTGTAACAGCTGGACAGGGCCAGAGGGGGGGCAGGGAACTGGGGGGGGGGAGGGGGGGGACAATCTGTGGGCACAGAGGGGAGCTAGCCCACCTCCATCCTCATCCCCACCATAGCCCCTTTGCTGCCGGCCTCCACCCAACGCTGATGGGGGGGTGGGAAAGGGGAGGGGGGTCCCCGATGGCAAGAAATCTCAACTAAACCAAAGCCGTGAGAGAGGTGGTCCCGGGGAATATACAGGTAATAATACTGCTCACATAGAAAAGTAATAATCCTTCATTTGTACATTTATACAGTGCTCTCTGCACCCCCCGGCCCCCCACCCCTCCCACCCTCCGGCTCCCCCCCCTTCCCTCACCGCCCCCCCCCCACACTATGCCAGGGGGTCGGTCAGCTCGTCGTCCGCACCGCGCGCCAGCAGCTCGCGCTTCTCATCAGTGCTGGCCAGGGAGTTCCTGCTGCTGTGTGCTCCCATGTACAGCGTGGCGTACACCGGGTTGGTGAAGTTGGTGGGCTGTGTGTGTGGGGGAGGGCATAATGTAAGGTCAGTGGGCTCACAGCCCAAAAGGGGACAATGCCAGACTGGGGGGGTTCTGCCCCATAGCCCAGAGCCTGCAGTGACAGTGCTGTCCACCCTAAAAGGGTCATTTCTAACAGAATCACAGAATCATAGAATGGCCCGGGTTGGAAGGGACCTCAAGGATGATGAAGCTCCAACCCCCCCACCACATGCAGGGCCACCAACCTTCACATTTCACAGCAGCCCAGGCTGCTCAGGGCCCCATCCAACCTGGCCTTCAACACCTCCAGGGATGGACGGGGCATCCACAGCCTCTCTGGGCAGCTGTTCCAGCACCTCACCACTCTCACAGCAAACAACTTCCCCCTAACATCCAACCTCAATCTGCCCTCCCTCAATTTCAAACCATTTTCCTTGTCCTGCTGTCATCTCCCCTTTCCAAGAGCTGACTCCCCTCCTGTTTGTAGGCTCCCTTTAGGTACTGGAAGGCTGCAATGATTCACCCCACAGCCTTCTCTTCTCCAGGCTGAACAAGCGCAGTTCCCTCAGCCTGTCTTCATAGGGGAGGTGCTGCAGCCCCTTGATCATCTTTGTGGCCTCCTCTGGACCCTCTCCAACAGCTCTCTATCTTTCTTGTACTGGGGGCTCCAGACCTGCAATGTGCCTCCCCTGCATCTTCCCCGCTACCAGCACTGAGCCCACAGCCCCAGCTGTGCCCCCTGCCCCATTCATGCCCACTGGCGGCAGCGGTGGGGCAGTGCCCTTCCTGCAGCTCAGCACCCAACCTGCACCGAGTCGGACCACCCCCCTTGCCCTCCCCCAGCCCCACCTTGTCAGGGTCCAAGGCGAAATCAGCATCCAGCAGTTCCCCCACGTCATCGTCGGGTTCCCCTTCGTACATTTTGTAGGTTGGGTTCCCAATCTCCACATTCATGGCCCCGTTTGTCATCCGCTGGTGCTGGAAGCCCTTGGCACTGCATGGGGACAAAGAACAAAAGGGTCGGAGGGGGCGGCAGCATGGGGTAGAGCTCCCCCCCAACAAGTTCCATCTCACTCACCCTTTAATCCTCCACTTGTACCAGGCAAAGGCCACTACGGCAAGCAGGAGCAGCAACAGCAGGATGGGGATGACGATGGAGGCAGTTCCTGCAGTACAAGGGGTGGGTGGGAGTCAGAGGGCTCAAAGGGGGAGTGGGGGGGGTGGAAGGGCATAGTGCCCAATCCTAGCTGCTGCAGCAGAGCCACATCCCGACCCCCCTCCCCTGTACATACGGCCGCTCTGCTGCTCGCCGACGATGAACTCCTCACAGCGCATCCCCGTCACCTCCAGAGGGCACCTGAGAGCACGGGGAGAGCCCGGGGTTAGAGGGGGCAGGAAGGCATGCGGGGGGGGAGGAGGGAAGTGGGGGCATGGAGTGGTGGGAGGGGGCACAGACTGGTACGGGGGGGTGAGGGGGGATGACACAGATCGGGGGTTGTCAGCATTGCTTGGGAGGCAGGAGGCACCTCCCCGTGGCTTGGCACAGGGCCCCTCCCCACCGCAGCCCCTCCCAGGCTCCTCCCCCGGAGGCCCCCCTCAGCCCCGTCCCCCTCCCCCCTGCCCCCTCCCCATCCCCCTCGCTTACAGGCACTCAGGCAGCTGTGTCTTGTCGCTGATGGAGCAGGTGCCGCCGTTCAGGCAGAAGCTGTCACAGGTCAGGCAGCTGGGTGCTATCTTGCCATCAGGACAGCTGTGGGGCATCCAGCTCAGTGCACAGACACCCAGGGATGCCAGCAGGCCCCCTCCAAAGCCCTGCCAGCTACTGGTGCCCATTCCATGCCAGCCCTGGGGCCCCACTGCACCAAACAGTGCATTTTGGGTTCCCACCCCCTTTACCCCCCACCCCAGGCATGCAGGCTCCTTCACATCCCTTCACCCTCCAATTCCTTTTTGCCCAGCACTGTGGCACATACATGCAGGACACCTCTCCGCTCTGCCTGTTGATGTTGCATTTGCCCTCCTGGCACCGTGAGCACTTGTTGTCCTGGCACTGTGCACCCTCAAACTGCGGTGGGCAGCGGCACTGCTTGACACCATCCTTGGTCATCTGGCACACGCCATTGTTCTCACAGTAGTTGAAGCATTGCTCTGTGGGGCACAGAGGGCTCAGGGTGGGGGCAGAAGAGGAGATAACCCCACCTCGTCCTGCTGGCTACGCTCTGTGCAATGCCCCCCCAGGGTCCCATTGGTTCTCTTGGCTCATGCTCAGCCCGTGGGCAGTTGTTGGCCACCCCCAGGTCCTTCTCTGCAGAGCTCCCTTCCAGCAGCTCAACGTCCAACCTGCATCGAGTCCTCCCCAGGTGTAGGACCCCCCCCACTCACGGTACTGGCAGCGGTCCCCGATGAAGGTGGGTGGGCAGCGGCAGTTGGGCTGGTTGCCCTGGTTCACTGTGCAGCTGCCGTTGTTGTGGCAGTAGTTGGTGCACACCTGCTGGTCACACCGGGATCCCGTGAAGCCGGTGGGGCAGCGGCAGGTGGGCATGCCTGGGAATGAGAGCAATCAGAGTTCTGCTCTGTCTGCCTACATAACCCACCCTCTCCACCAAAGGCTCACAGCCCCATGGCACTCACCG